CCTCATATCAGTGAGTTCATATGATACGTGTCTTTCTCTGATTGACTTATTTCGCTCAGCATAACACCCTCCAGTTCCATCCACGTCGTTGCAAATGGCAAGATCTCATTCCTTTTGATGGCTGCATAATATTCCATTGTGTATATATACCACATCTTCTTTATCCATTCATCTGTCGATGGGCATCTTGGCTCTTTCCATAGTTTGGCTATTGTGGACATTGCTGTTATAAACATTGGGGTGCACGTACCCCTTCGGATCCCTACATTTGTATCTTTGGGGTAAATACCCAGGAGTGCAATTGCTGGATCGTATGGTAGCTCTATTTTCAACTTTTTGAGGAACCTCCATACTGTTTTCCAGAGTGGTTGTACCAGCTTGCATTCCCACCAACAGTGTAGGAGGGTTCCCCTTTCTCCACATCCCCAACATCTGTCGTTTCCTGACTTGTTAATTTTAGCCATTCTGACTGGTGTGAGGTGGTATCTCATTGAGGTTTTCATTTGGATTTCCCTGATGCCAAGCGATTGAGCACTTTTTCATGTGTCTGTTGGCCATTTGGATGTCTTCTGTGGAAAAATGTCTGTTCATGTCTTCTGCCCATTTCTTGATTGGATTATTTGTTCTTTGGGTGTCGAGTTTGATAAGTTCTTTATAGATTTTGGATACTAGCCCTTTATCTGATATGTCATTTGCAAATATCAGAAGTTCTTAATCTTGATGAAGTCCAATTTATTAATTTTTTTCTCTTATGGATCATGCTTTTGGTATCATCTAAGAAACCTTTCCCTACATAATATCCAAAGATTTTCTACTGTGTTTTTTTTTAAAAGATTTTATTTATTTATTTGACACAGAGAGAGAGAGTGAGAGCACAAGCAGGGGGAGCAGCAGAGGGAGAGGGAGAAGCAGGCTCCCCGCTGAGCAGAGAGCCCAATGTGGAGCTAGATCCCAGGACCCTGGGATCATGACCTGAGCCGAAGGCGGACGTTTAACCAACTGAGCCACCCAGGTGCCCCTGTATTATGTTTTCTTCTAGAAGTTTTATAATTTTAAGTTTTACATTTATGTCTATGGTCATTTTGAGTTAATTCTTACATACAGTGCAAGGTGTGGAACAAAGTTTATATTTTTGCATATGGGTATTCAATTGTTCTAGCATTATTGGTTGACAAGACTTTTTTCATCCATTGAATTGCCTTTGCACTTTGTCAAAAATCAGTTGACTATAGATGTGTGGGTCTATTTCTGAACTCTATTTATTTCATTGATATATTAGTCTATTTTTATACCAATACCACACTGTCTTGTCTTGATTTCTGTAGGTTTGTAAGTCTTGAAATTAGGTAGTGTAAGTCCTCCAACTTTGTTAATTTTTTCAAAGTTGCTTTGGCTAGGTCTTTTTCATTTACATATGAATTTTAGAATCAGCCTATCTGTTCTTACAAAAATAACAGCCTGCTGGAATTGCACTGAATCTGTACATTAGTTTGGAGAAAATTGACATTTTAACAATATTGAGTCTTCTGATCCATAAACATGGTATATCGTATATATCTCCATTTATTTAGGCCTTTTTTTATTTCTCTCAGAAATACTTTGTGGTTATCAGTGTATAGAGCTTGCCCATTTTTTTTTTTTATTAGAGAGAGCACACACAGGAGCAGGGTGGAGGGGCAGAGAGAGAGAGAGAATCTTTTTTTTAAAAAAAAGATTTTATTTATTTATTTGACAGAGAGACAGTGAGGGAACGCAAGCAGGCAGAGGAAGAGGGAGAAGCAGGCCTCCCACTGAGCAGGGAGCCTGATGCTCTATCCCAGGACCCTGGGATCATGACCTGAGACTAAATCAAGAGTCAGATGCTTAACCGACTGAGACACCCAGGCACCCCTAGACCTTGTACATTTTTTATCTGATTTATCCTTAAATATTTCATATTTTTGATGTTATTACAAGTGACATTGATTTTTTTATTTCACCGGCCCATTGTTCATTTCTGGTATATAAAGACATAGCTGGTTTTTGGATATGTGTATTGTATCCAGCACCCTGACTGAACCCACTTATTAATCCTAGTAGCTTTTTTTGTAGGTTCTATAGAATTTTCTACATAGGTGGTCATATCATCTGCAAATAAAGACAATTTTACTTATTCCTATCCAAAGTGGATACCTTTTCTTTTTCTTATTGTACTGGTTAGAACCTCTAGTATGACATTAAACAGAAGTGATAAGTGTAGACATCTTTACCTTGTTCCTGATCTTAGCATTCAGTTATTTCATCATTAAGTACGATGTTACAGAAGTCTTGAATGTGTGTTTTCAAGATTTTTTTATAAGTATGGACTCCATTAAAGTGCCAATTTACACCATATCGAGCAATGTATGAGATGGTATCTTTTTCCACACTCTTGTCAACATTAGGCATTATCTTATAAAAATAAGTCTGCCATTCTTAATGTTATCTATTTATTTTAAATTTTTGTCTTTTGATTATTAATGGAGGTTAGCATCATTTAATGTTTATTGGCCAATTATATTTGTCTTTTTAGTTGCCTATGTCCTCTGCTCATTTTCTAATGGAGCATCATTTCTTTCCCAACAATTTTACAGTAGCCTTTAAAGTTCTAATATCCTTAATTAAATATATTTATTATATATGTCTGTTAATAGTTTTCCCAATTTGTCTTTTGCCTTTTACCTTTGTTTATGGATTTGTTTATTTTTTATATATACTATTTTTAATAGAATTTTTTAGAGCAGTCTTAGATTCACAACAAAATGGAGCATAAAGTACAGAGAGTTTCCATGTACCCCTGCCTCCCCAATATATAGCCTCCCACTATCAACATCCCATATCAGCAATATCCTGCACCAGAGTGTAATTGATTCATTACAGTCAATGAATCTAGTCTACAATGACACATCATTATCACCCAAAATCCACAGTTGATATTAGGGTTCACTCTTGGTGTTATATGGTCAATGAATTTGGACAAATGTATAATGACATTATCATACAGAATTATTTTCACTACTCTATAAGTCTTCTTGCTCCTCTTATTCATCCTTCCCTCTTTCTTAACCCCTGGATATCACTCATCCTTTTACTGTCCCCATAGTTTTGCCTTTTCCAGAATGTCATATAGTCAAATCATACAGTATGCAACCTTTTCAGATTGTCTTCTTTCACTTAGTAGTATGGATTTTAAGGTTTCTCTCTGGCTTTCCCTGACTTGATAGTTCGTTTCTTTTTAGCACTGAATAATATTCTATCAGCTGGTTGTACCATAGCGAAGTGTATCTAGCGAAGGACATCTTGGTTGCTTCCAAGGGTTGGCAATTATGAATAAAGCTGCTATAAATATCCATGTGCCGTTTTTGTGCAGACATAAGTTTTCAACTTATTTGTAAATACCAAGGGCTACAATTTCTGGATCATATGGTAAAGAGTATGTTTACATGGGTTTGTATATTTAAAAATACACTAAAGCTTTTACTTTTTTGTTGAGAAAACTGTCAACCTTTTCTTCATAATTTGTCTTTGGTTTTGATCAGAAAAGCTTTTCCCTTCCAAAATTTTATAAATCTTCACCTGTACCTTCTTCTAGTAGTTCTATGTATTTTATTTTTACATTTTAATCTTTGTTTTATTTTGACATGAGGCAGATATCCAAGTTCATTTTCCTTTGGCTTTCTTTCCACTTCCCTAGTTACATACAGCTTCCTCTAAATATTTGATCCACACAACAACTCCCAAGGAGTTCCCATTTTTACAAACAAGGAAACTGAGGCAGAGAGGCAGCTCATTGCATTTAAAGCCACATAGCCATTAACTTCTGTAGTCAAGATTCAAACCCAGGTCTTTTGATGCCAAGTCCTGTTCTCTCTCAGCAATTATAGTCCATAGACAAACAGCATTGGAAACACCTGAAAGCTTGTCAGAAATGCACACCCCTGAATCAGAATCTGCATTTCTATCAAGTTAGAGAAGTACTGTTGGGCATTGTGTTTCCCCAAATTTAGGGTGTATCAGAATCACCTGAGAACACTTGTTGAGCCCCATCCTTCCTCACAGTATTTTAACTCAGTGTGTCTGGGGTGATGACCGGAAATCTGAATTTTAACAAGCATCCCAGGTTATTCTTATGCAGGTGACTCCATGGATCACATCTGAGAAATGCTCTAAAACAACTGAGAAATATTCTCAAACTGTTACCTAGAACACCAAAAGTGATGGCTGATTATTTCTCCCAGTCTCAATTTAGACGTGTCCTTTTAACCTGAAAAAGAGAGAGCTAGGAGGTAATAATAACTCTTTACATGTCCATATGTGGTCATTAGGTTGTAATAATGAGGATGATGATTAAACTTTCAATTTTACATTAAATCAAATAAAGAAAAATAAGGGCAAACGGTTTTCAATCGATCCCAGAATTTAGTGGAGGCAGTGTGAAGTAGGAGAAATATCTACTCAAGTAAATTGGAGTCTCCTTCCCCTTATTCAAATCTTGTCAGTATGTCTGTGAGTCAAGGTCTCTTCACTAATAAAATGAAGGTAAATAATAACCTGCCAGCGGGTAGAAAGAACCTGCCTATCAACTTTCTGCACTGTTGTCCCCAGTATCATAAGACTGGAAGGAGAGACTAAGCCTCCGGAGGCTCATTTTTGCCAGCTCAGATCTGCCCGGAAGCCGACGCCACCTGGCCAGAGGTGGGGCTCCGGCGACCTAAAGGGGCCCCTCCTCTGACCCGTCTGCGCCCAGCGGCCCTGGAGACACCCTCTCCTCCGCCCAGTACCGCGGGGAGACTCCGTCATCAATAATTCATTAAGAACCTCCTCTCCATTGGCTGACGCCACCACCCGCCCTGGCAGCGGCCCAATGAGGAAGGACTTGAGCAAGCCTCCTGAATAGTGAACGAGCTGCCGTGACGTAACGGCCGGAGATTGGCTGCGACGGCACGAGGCGGGGCCAGCTCGGGCGGCGGCGAGAGCGGCTGGGGCAGCTCAGAGCGAGCCGGAGAGGGTCGAACTCAGAGCGGGGTCGGAGCGCGGGGCAGGCACTGAGAGGGCCGGCGCGGGGCGCGGACCGGCTGCAGGATGTTCAGCTGGATGGGGCGGCAGGCGGGCGGGCGCGAGCGCGCGGGAGGCGCCGACGCGGTGCAGACGGTGACTGGCGGCCTGCGCTCGCTCTACCTGCGCAAGGTGCTGCCGCTGGAGGAGGCGTACCGCTTCCACGAGTTCCACTCGCCGGCGCTGGAGGACGCCGACTTCGAGAACAAGCCCATGATCCTGCTGGTGGGCCAGTACAGCACGGGCAAGACCACCTTCATCAGGTAACCCGCCCCGCCCGCTCGTCGCCCCTGCCGCGACCCCTGCTCCCACCACCTAGGTGGAGGCGGTCCTCCCCACGTGTGCGTGTGCTGTCACCAGCCTCCCACCGCCTCGGACGTCCTGCAGCGCCCACTCGCCCGTGCGGAATCCCCTCGCGGCCGTTTCCCCCTCCAGCATCGGCGTGAGCTCAGGTTCTCCGTCCAAGCGCGGTGCCCGGGAGCCCTCAGCCTCGCCCCGGGGCGCGGCCGCCCAAGAAGGGGCCGCCTCTCCCCCATGCAGGCAGGAAGGCCCCCGAAACCCCTTCTCCATATACTCTGAGCCCTCCTTCCTTGCTCTTGGTAAGGGACTCTTCTGACTGGATTTGTCCTGTCACCCTGGCCCGGGACCCGGGGAGGGGAGGGAGGAGAGCGAGGCTGTAATAAGCATCTTCTTGATGAGCGAGTGAGGCCTAGGGCTAGAAATGGGGACGGAGGTGTGTGGTATCCGAATGGGCTGTTGAGTCATATTTGAAGAATTAAGCCCCCAGCGCCTAACTATTCATTGAAGGAATGTATTAATGAATGAATGAATGCATGCATGCGTGAATGAATGAATGGCAACAGTAAAGGGTACTTTTCCAATGCCCCCTTCCCCTGAAGTCCTTGCATGCCGTCCCCCACCACAGTGTTGGGGGGAGCGGGTAGAGAGGCCGCTTTTATTCAGCTCTTGCACAGCCTCGCCTTTATCCGGCCATAGGAAGTTAACTGTGTAGCAGCCCCAGCCGGCGCCCAGTGGAACTAAGGAGGAGTGTCGTATTACTCTTCGTTGGTTTCCATTTCTTAGGTGGGTCATTCCCTCCTCCCTTGACAACTGAAAATATTTGTCATGCTTGCTCTGTCTCCAAAAGCAAACAATTACTGTGCATGCCCTAAGGCTCAACTCGTATAGCTTCCTCTGAAGTGATTTTTGTTGGGAAATCATTTACATCGAAACAAATTGCTTTTTGAAGAGACTGTGTTACTTCTAAAGCAGAAGTAAGACACTTTTTAAGACTCACTTTTTTAGGGGTTAGGAAACTTATTTTCCTGGATTAAACTCTGGGTCAGTTTAACAAAGGACTAATCATTTAAGGTTTTGGTCCAGGGTTTGGGAAATTGTAACAATCTCTCCATCATTGATGTTCAACCGGTGTTCAGAAAACTGCATCTATATTTGGATATATGCCTTTTCTATTAAACAGTGGCCTCTTTTTCTCCACTCCAGTGACCTAAATAGTTCCTACAAATAGAGTAGTTGTCACTACAGGAAATGTGTTCAATCCAGACGTACAGATACACTATGAATGAATTCAGCAAAGCAAATACACTGTATTGAAATATAGTTCTAGATAGTAAAGTGAACGTGAGGGAAGACTGAAGGAAATAATTTTTAAATTGACTTATTTGGTGCTTATTAATAAGGGGAAAATAGTATTAAATATATCACCCCAGACACTCAAACCATAGAAGTGTTACAGTAACCGATACCTTGAAAGATGACAGACAATACCTTTAAGGTCTCGGTTTAAGTATATGGGATACTGAAGTATTGTGACCAAGTGGTACAAGAGTGGGAGGTGGGCCTTTTGAAACAGATAAAGGATAAGAAGCTGGCATTGTCATAATTATAATAATCGCAGACATGAGCCGTGGCACGCTCATGGCGCCCTGGGCAGTTCCTCCTGTCTCTCTAGCATGGGGCTTTCCTGTGCCCTGTGTGATTAGGGAGCCCTGGTGCTCCTGTGGCCCCCAGGATGTGATGTGGCCATCTCTCTGCTTACATAGCCTCGCTCTTCTCTCTCTTTCATCATTTGTGGGGAGTTCTGTGGAATGGCTAAGCATAATTTTAAGAAGGATTTTGAGATTTGACTCCTGGCAACTTCCTTCAATGGACCACTTCTCAGTAGGCACTGGAGCCATGTGCAACCTCAGGGTGAGGGAGGAGTCACCTTACCAAGAAGTCACTTGCTCTTGAGACCTTCCCTGGCCTAAGTGACTTTGTCCTTAGGTAGTGGGCACAAAGTGGACCTGTGAGGTTAGAAGGAAATCAAGGTGGACAGGAAGCTTGGTGAGCCAACACAGACCTGAGTTTGGTTTCAGAGTGGAGCTAGGAGGAAGAGATTTAACTCCTAGGAGGAAAGCCCCAAACAAAAGGGCAGCTACCCTCTAGAGCCTGCCCTCGGACTGGGAAGCAGTGGAGTTGGCCCAGGGTGCTGACCATCCTGGATCCTGCCTACACCCAGTGCTATCTTTCTTTCTGAAGCCGGTCAGTGCCTCGGTTGTTCATGTCTAGCCATTGAGCACTAGAAGCTCATACTTGGCTATGGGGTCCATCTATTTACATAGTCAAAGATTTCCATCCACCTGGCTTCCTGTATATCCCAAGAGGTCACTGGTAACACAGAGCATGCACTCATAGGAAGGAAACTTCTCTCATTCTAAAGCCAGTCAGCAAAGCCTTTGGTGTGCGTTGGACACCTTTAATAGAACCATTCTTCCCTCCTTTTGTCCCATGACTGGGAAGAAGTAAGAGCTCTACTAGAACATGGTGAGCCAAGACTTCATCAGGAATGAGGAAATTAAATGTGTGCCTTGTTCTAATAAAAAGGTCTTCTAGATGGGATGAAGAACCTGAGTGTCAGAAACTATATTTATTTTTTGGAAGTGTATGGAAGTATATGGAAGGAGAGTCTTGGTGGACCCTCCTCACCTGGATCACAAAACTGGCCCAGAAGGTGACTTCAGATGTGATGGAGCTATTTGTCAGTCTTCTTGAGATAGAAGCAGAACAGCTGATAAACCTATTGTCTCACTAACTGTTTTATTTCTCAGAAGGCAGAGGATGCTATGAGAGAAACCATGGATGCTCTACCTCTAACTAGCAAGTAAGAATTGGCCAAAAAGGGGAAGAGACGGGCATTGGGAAAAGTGGCTATGTTTTCTTAGACTATGTAACAACCAAGGAAGGGTGGATATTTGGCTCAGCCAGGCTTGTATCCAAAACCTGAGGAAAACAGATTTCAGACATTCCCCCAGAAAATCCCTGGGCCCAAGTGCTATGAAGGAAGACATTTCCACTGAGAGGATGTGAGGCTCACTGAAAATCAATTCAAACCACATGATTGCAATATTTTGGTTTTTAAGAGCTCCATTTTCTCTCTTCCTCCTACACCCTGTCCCCTTCTCCCAGAAAAATTTATTCTAATGAGGACAAAAGAGGGAAGTCATTCAAGAAACTGTATAGGCTTTAAAAAGGTAGAGCCCAAAGCAATTAGGCAAGAAAAAGAAATGGAATGTAGATTGGAAAGAAGTAAAACCATCTCTGTTCACAAAGGGCATGATCATGTATATAGAAAATCCTAAGGATTTAGGAAAATTCTAAAAAATTTTAAACAAGTTCAGCAAGGTGTTAGGATACAAGATCAATATACAACATCAGTTACATTTCCATGCACGAGCAATGAACGATCTGAAATTTAGAAAATAATTCCTTTTATAATACATCTAAATGAATAAAATGTTTAGAAATAAATATAACAAAAATAGTGTAAAACTTATGCACTGAAAAATACAAAACTTTGTTTCAAGAAATTAAAGAAAACCTCAAAACAAAACAAAACAGGAAAGACATCCCCTGTGCATGGATTGGAAGACTTAATATTTTTAGAAGGGCAGTACTGCTCTAAGTGATCTATGATTCCATGCAGTCCCTACCAAAATCCCAACTGCCTTCTTTACAGAAATTGACAAGCTGATCCTAAGATTCAGTCAGAAAGTGAGGGATCCAGATTAGCCAAGACAGTCCTGAAAGAGAACAAAATTGGAGTTCTCAGGGGCGCCTGGGTGGCTCAGTTGGTTAAGCGACTGCCTTCGGCTCAGGTCATGATCCTGGAGTCTTGGGATCGAGTCCCACATCAGGCTCCCTGCTCAGCAGGGAGTCTGCTTCTCCCTCTGACCCTCTTCCCTCTCGTGCTCTCTATCTCTCATTCTCTCTCTCAAATCAATAAATAAAATCTTAAAAAAAAAATTGGAGTTCTCATACTTTCTCATTTCCAAGCTTGCTACAAAGCTACGGGACAGTGTGATAGTAGCATAAGAATAGACAGAGACTGACAGAATAGAACTGAGAGTCCAGAAATAAACCCATATGTCTGGTAAATTTGTTTTTCCAAGGGTTCAAGACAATTCAATGGGGGAAACAACATTCTTTTCAACAAATAATGGTAGACAACTAGATATCCACATTGCAAAAGGAATAGAGAGTTACTGCTAATGGGTACAGGGTTTCTTTTGGGGTGATGGAAGTGTTCTGAAATTAGATAGTGGTATTAGTTGCACAACTTTGTGAAGTTACTAAAAACAGAGAAGTGTACCTTACCCTTTAAAGGAGTAGGTTTTGTGGTATATGAATTTTATCTTGGTTAAAAATATAGAACAGTTCAGTCTTCCAGCAGTTCAGCATCCTGTGATTTCTTTAATTTCCATAATTGTGCGGGTAGCTCCAGTCAAGTAATTTCTGCATCTGTATGCAATAATTTAAAATAAAAATGGTTGCCAGAAAGAAAGCAAACCAAAAATTATGGAAATAAGCCAAAAGAACACATGGACAAAAGGAACTAAGGAGTATACATGAGGGGAAAGGGGAGTACAGGGATGCCTGAGTGACACAGTCAGTTAAGCGTCTGACTCTTGGTTTCAGCTCAGGTGGTGATCTCAGGTCATGAGATCAAGCCCCACAGTGGGCTCTGCGCTGAGCACAGTCTGCTTAAGATTCTCTCTCCCTCTGTCCCTCCCCCTTGTGTGATATCTCTCTCTCTCTCTCTCTCTCTCTCTCTCAAATAAATAAATCTTTAAAAAGAAAGAAAAGGGAGTATAAGTAGCTATCACACAGTCCCTATAGTTTCCCCCCATATATTCTTGTCAGTGTATAAACATGTTCATTCTTCCTAACACTCAAATTAAGTCGGTAAAATCAAAGTCTAATA